TGAATTTTGTGCCTTTTTATATTTCACCAACCCATATTGTTTGTTCTGCTGTTTGTGTTTTATATTTTGTTAACCCTGTTTTTTGTCAATGATGGTAAGTGTCTAACCTTTGAACCCTGCCCCCTTGGGGCATTGTAGTGTCCACTATACCCTCTGATTTATGCCTGTTATGTTCCCAGTATTAAAAGGTACATGGTTAAGTCCCTATTGGTGGTCTGGCTCTGCTCTATAGGGGGAGGAGAGTCCCTACACCTCCCACAGCACTTGTGTACCTGCTTTGATCTCTTCAATTGGAGACGGGGTACTTGGCTCGTCCGGCACTTCTGCTCTTTCATGTGAGAGGCAGCATGGACTGCATAGAGCACGTGATGATAGAAGCATCTCTTCAAGGGATTATCACATGGCTTGAAGCCCTGAAAAGAAGACCATATGGACACTTTTACACATGCTCTGGGGGTAGGGGGGACACTCTAATTAGAGCGCCACAGAGACTCATGTATCAGTGTACCTACAGTTCAAAATGATGGTGGGGGCACTTGAACTAAATCTCATTTGATGAGCTTCAGTTAAAACACCCCTGCTGCCATTTTGAAGCATGGGAACACTGATACACAAGATATGGAAGGTGGCTGGAGTGTGATAATCACCACGCTCCGGCAGACTCAGTTAATCTCTCCTTTTGGTCAAGTGTGTCAGAGCAGCTTCACAGCATGTGTACAGGCACCCTATATGTCTAGAACAGTGATAGGCAACCTTTTCTAGATGAGGGCCTGAATGACCCATCTTGGGTCAGAGATGGGTGGACCAGGCACTAGGACTACCCATTGCCTGTACTTCTCCCCCCAGCAGCACAGGAAAAACACCTGCCACCAAAGCTCCAGATTTGCAGGCCAGATCCAATTTCTTTACAGGCCAGATCCAGCCTGCACCTGTTGGTTACTGATCCTCAGTCTAGAAATATGTGCTTTCATTTTTTCTATTGATTCATCTTTTATGTCTTTTATTTCAGGTTCCATCTCTCTCTGGCTGATTCCAATCTTGGCTTCTTTGAAGTAAGCTGATGATTTTGGTGCCTAAAAGATGAGCTCCAAGCATCTTGGGGATAAATTCAGAGCAGGAGGTTGACTTTCCCTGTGCACATTAGGCTTCACCCAGAACTCTTTTCTCTCCTTTTGGCAACTTGCTCTATCAGTGGGCTTTCAGATGAAAAGTAACATTGTTTGGGGGATATTTCTTTTCATTAATCCTTTAATACTCCTGAAAATTACTTGTTTTCTGATCTCACTTGCTTGTGTATCATGTTTCACCTGAGATCATATCAAACTGAAATTATGACCATGCAGCCTGCAGCCATTAAGCATACAGCTGCAGGTGAAGGAGCAGTGTGTTATTAGGTTAGAACATGCACAACAGAAAGAAAGGCAAGCAGTGGGGGTGCACTGAGACTTAGCACAGATGTTCATTATTATGGTAGAGAGGGGGAACCAAAAATACTCACAAATGCGTGAAACAGTGGCATACCAACATTTATAGAATCCTACCTCCCCAGAAAGTAGTTTATATTTGATGATGATCAGTCAATTCTGGGAACCTGAGCAGAGAGGAACTAAAACCTCTCCAGTCCTACTATACAGTTGTAGATGTTATCTTACAAGCAGACAAAATTGATACCTTTAAATGAATATATATCAAATTTGGTAACAAGAGCCAGATTCTCCTATCTTCTGTCTTCTGGACAGTTGTAATGTCCTGAAATCCAAAGGTTATTTTCATTTGGCCTACTCCATGCAAATGAGATCTGCTTAGTGGAACATATCTGATCCCAGCTAACTTCCTGCCCTTTGAGCAGGAGGCTGGACCTGATGATTTTGAGAGGTCCCTTCCAGCCCTAATGTCTATGAAATCTATGGAACAGAATTCTCTTTCATAAAATGCCACCCAAGATTTGGTTATATGTTAAAGCAAGAGTTTTATAGATCTCAGGAAGTGACCACTACATGTATTTTTTTGTCCCATGGCAGATCTCACTTTTGGAGAATTTCTTCTCTTACATTTTACACACTGAAATAATCCCATCAGCCAATGGTAAGTATGGAGGTTAAGATTTTCAACCTGTGACCCATGGACACCTGGGGTTCTGTTAACTATATCTAAGGGGTCCACAAAAGATGACTATGATCAATTAAAAGTATGCAAATACCCATACTTGCAATTCAAAGGGGTCCGTATCTCCGCTCAAAATTTTCTAGGGGTCCACAAATGAAAAAGGTTGAAAACCACTACTCTTACTGTCTTTGACATGTTAACTACAAATATGTTGCCATAACCTACATGGCTGAGGAAACTGGTAATGTGATGTGGTGCTTTTCACTCTTAGGTCATCATTCACATTAGCTCAAGTGGAAAATTGACAATCCTCTTGTAACCTGAGAGAAACAAGTTAGGGTATCAGCCCCCATTCGCAGGGGACGAGTAAATGCATCATACACCCACCATTTCAACTAACACTGTTTTATAGCTTCAGCACAGAAGCCAAAGATGGAAAGGGCATGGAAAGTGAATTACTTTCTCAACCTTAGATGGTCCTCAATTGCCCCTTGAATCATCCTGGAGAAGGAACATGGAGAAATGTATCGTTGCTTCATATGTTAACATAATAAATCACTAAAAGTGAAATTTACCTCTGTTTAAAGGACCAACACAAGCATTTATGCACCAATTAAGTCCCACTTTAGTCCTCAAAATAGGAATGCATGGATCTTGTGCCAGCCTTCTGCACAGGAAGGAATTTCTTCCCTCTGAAATTATGCAAAAAGGAAGAAATGTTAGTAATAGTTGGAGTACAAGCTTCATGTTTGCAAATCATCATCTAACTCATGAGGTCACTTTGCCCCAATCTCTTCAGACCCAATGATGTGATATTCTGAGCACTTCTTGCAAGGTGTTGAGTGTCCAGGCAGTGGGAGCTGAGGGCACACTGCACAGACTACGCACTTTGCAAGATGTGAAACTGTTTGAACTCTCTCTGCCTCACTCTCCCCATTTGTAAGTAAGGATCATACTTGACCTTCTTCTGAGGATTAACTATAAAACCCCTTCAGATCCTTGGGTAAAGAAGCTATTGAAATAGGAAGGTGGTGGTGTGTATATATTCACATTTTGTCTGTATATATATTTACATTTTGTCTGTCTTCTCTTAAGCTAAACTAACAAAAGGATTCCCTCTTCCAAACTTGGCCAATCTTTCCTTGAAGAAACCTCTTATTAAAGTTGAGCAGGTAAGAATCTTGATTGCTTATGAAATGTTTATTCCTCTTCTTTCCTGACAGGACATGCTTTTTCTGTGTATATATGAGATTTTGCAGGCAGGATGCTGGTTGCATTTAGCTTTAACTAGTTAAGCAATTAACTGTGCTTGGGTTAAAGATGGAAAAATTTCATACCAGCAGTTTCCCTTTAGGAATAAATTTCTCTCTTTTGAGAAAAAGGTAAAACTGGACTAACTGTGCTGCCACCCCCTGGCAAAATGTAGTCGGAGAACCAAATTCAAAGCTGGAGGAGGTGTAACCTCCTGGAAGTCAAAAGTTGCACCTGCTTTTTTTTACCTTTTCTAAACTTGCATACCCAGGCTTTGAGTTCAGCCAGGCTACACAAATATAAATGAGAACAGAATTCAACTGTCATGCGGCATGAACAACTAGTGGTTTATATGTGTATATATTAGAATTAGAGTAATAATTTAACAATAATTCAGAATAAAATGCAGGGCATTTTTGAAAATTCATGAGTTGCTGATGTTACTTACCGCAGCTCATCATGGGTTTCCCAAAATACCCTGTGAGTCAGTGGTTACTGCTGTTGTGGTAAACAAATAAGAAAATAAGGACAATATTCTACCACTGTCCCTTGTTGCTGCCCATATTGATTCACCACAAGAAGACTTCAGCTCTTAATTTGGCTACATGACTGCTACATAATTGGAAGTCGTAATAAATTAATTTTAAAAGAAATGAACCAGCCAATCTGATTACACCAGTGACTTGCATTTTATACTTTCCAGCCACACTGCCCAGATATACAGATGTGGCAGAATACATGACACAACTCAGGAATGGGAATACAAAATGGTTATATGCTACCTTTGCATTGCACACATGGGCTATCTTTGTGGCAGACCAGTACCGTGATATAAGCTGGTGCCACCTGAAAACTGCCCTAAATTGCACTGGTGCCAATAGCTCTCAAAGAACCAAAATGGGAGCTAGTAAGAGGCTATTAACATTCAGGAAAATCTTATTTACATTCCCTACACCAATGGCCAGGAGTGGGAGGTGGTATAGCAAAATTCACTGCACCACTTCTATGCCAACAGACATTTCTTCTAGCCTAGGGTGATTCTACCAGGACTAACCACAAACTTTTAGGTATAGCGTCTGCTGGCAGTGTGGTGAAAAGCAGCAAACTCCCATGGAAATTCTAGGTCTGTGTACATAAGTTTTGGTCCTTTTAAGTTTCTTGTATTTTTTTTAAGTCTAACTTCTCTTCAGTAAAGACCCTTACCCCATAATACTTAGTACAGAGTTAAAACAGAGAGTTTAAGTTTCAGTCGTCTGTAATTTAAAGCACTTCACTTTCTTGAATGTTCTTGTGTCCACAGGGCTATCTGTGGATTTCCACAGATGTAAACTATGAACAGTAGGAAGGAGAAACCATCAGGATGGTCAGGACCCTCACAACTGATTATAACTCTGAAGCCTGACCACGGCCCCTTTATTCTGAAATGAAAGATGTCTTTTTGTTTTTACTCTGATTTGAGAGAGAAGCCCAGAGAAAATACGGAAATGAGTGCTGCAATGTTCAGAACATGTAATGATTGTAACAAGCAGGGAACCATGGAAAAGGATATTGTAGCATCTGTGTCTATGGTTAAGTGGGGGAAGCACTTTTATCCTGGACTTTGTACCTGCTGCAAAAATAACTGTTTTAAAAGGTTAAAATCTCTCTGTAATCGAAGTCTTATTATGTATTTTATGGAAGCTTCAATATTCTTTAGAGAGAAAAAAATGTATGCCAACAAGTTACAAATGCAGCTACTGAGCCACATTTAATGGTCTGTTCCTGGTATAAACTTATTCTACTTTCAACTGAATGCATCAGTTATATTTAGGGATCTACTCAATGTGCAGTTTTGCTATTTTCATGGACATTGTGAAAAAGGCGGTTTCTGCAATCACTGGCATTCCCCACAGTTTTGTGTGGAATTGCTGGGGGGTGGGGAAAAACAAACTAAAAATAAAATGCTGGCTCCCCAGTGGGAGCCAGAGGCCACTGTGGCCCAGCCTCAGCCCACTAGGGAGGGGAGCAGCCGGCATGAAAGGGGCCAGCCACAATAGTGGCTGCCTCCTCCACTGATTGGCTAAGAGGGCTGTCTTTTATGCAGCCCTGCCTGTCTCCACCAATCAGCGGTGAGGGGTGGGGCTGCATGAAGGGTAGCCCTCTCCACTAGTCACTGGTGAGGGGCGGGGCTGCTTGGGCCCCTTAGCCAATCAGTGGAGGTGAGGGACTTAACCCCCAAAAGACTGTGAAAATGGCACCAGACGTTGTGAGTAGTCTGCAATTTATATATATAAATTTACTTCACTTCTGTGTGCTTTAAGTAGGTCCCTCGTTATATTTAATATGAAATGGGAGCTATCCAGAAGTACTTCAATGCCTCCTGACTCGAATGAGGATTGAAGTCTTCAGGGTTCAAATGAAATCTTTTCTCTTGAAAAACTTTCACAGTCTCAATTTCAAGATATTTTCAAGCAGAATGTGCCTTCTTATTAGTGATGGATCTACTTATTCTAGATGATACCAGATGGTACTCCCTCATACTGTTTTTAAGTGTTCCTCTCTGCCCCTGTTGCTGAGACACTTCAAATGTTAGTAGACTGTTATCTTGTCTCCTGTTGGCCATTGTTTACCCATCTTAGAGATGTTTAAGGATTTCAATATTTCCTCATGTAAAATAAATTTATCCCTTTTGGTCTAACTTAGTACCATTTTGGAAATACTTTCTACTTTCATGAATTTCCCTATGATTTCATGTGTTTTCCCTACAAACTGGTTTAGTTCTTTAAAGGGTGCAAGCTAAAAACTCATTTCAGTAGACTGGAATATTTTCAGATGTTATTGTCTTCCTCTTAGTTTGCTGCATTGCCGTTTATCATTGCCCTTTCTTTTCTTTCTTCTTCAGCCTTTTCAGAAGATAGTCTTATTAAAACATAAAGCTGAGCCAAGGCAGCCAGGGCTATGCCTGACCCAGTCGGTTGAAAAGTTCTAGGGCCACCTTGATGTGGCCAGGCAGTCTGAGATGGCATCAGAGCTGGGTTCAGCTAGTTTTCAATCCGTGATACTATTTCTGTCCAAGCCAATTTGAATTGATTTTGAGGCTATGATTTTGAAGGATTTTTCTTCACTGCAGAAAATACATGTTTTTACACTGAGAAGTCCTAATGGAAGCTATTACTTTGACAGGGCTAGTTAAGGTCAACTTGTTAGGAAAAACTTCTTCACAGTCAGGGTGTCCAGACTGTGAAATAAGCTCTCTCCAGAGGAGGTGCAGTCACCTACTCTGGAGATCTTCAAGGGAAGACTGGGCAGTCACCTTGCTGGGGTCACTTGACCCCAACTGTCTTTCTTGCTTGGTGCAGGGGGCTGGACACGATGATTTTCCGAGGTCCCTTCCAGTCTTACAATCTATGAAACTCTATATCCTCCATTTGGGATTGTTCCTGCTACGCTGAGGTAAAAAAACATGGTGCCCAGGATATTTACAGCAAGTTGTAAATTTAAGTTGGCTATCTTCATGTAAAAATGCACTACTACTCTTTTTTTCCTTCCAGAGGAAGGGCAAGAGAATGGGCTGTTAGAAACTGGTGCTTTCTTCCCAGTTCTGTACATGACCTGAGGAAGATAAGTCCCAAATCTTCCCAGTCTCACTAGGGCCATTTACATTTCTAGTGTAATTCTTTTTACTGTGAATGCCTTAAAATCATAGGTGGCATAGGCCAGCTTGTCAGCCCTGTAACTTTTCCATATGTCTCCAACTTATAACTTGTTCTGGGACAATTCAAATTTTTATGTCAACTCTTCCAAAGTTGAAGATGTTTTGAAAAGTTACAGAGTGAAAGGGGAGAAAATGGGGTGGTAGGGGGCAGGATTACAGTGGGAACTATTAGTTGTGTTGCTTCTAATGACAAAAATGGAACGTGAAAGGGGAAATGAAAATCTGAAATTTAAAAATTGCTTTGGAAAATATACACGAACATTTTCAGATAAGTTCATTTTGGAATTTCCTACTTAAAAAATCCAAAACATCACTGAAAATATTTTCCAGCCAGAATTACTGCATTTAGCAAAATGTCATTTTTTCAGCAGGATTTAGTTTTTCAGTCTGGTCTGGGTGCCCTGGGGAGCAACTTATATTTTAGCCCCATTGACAATTCATTTTCAGAGGACTTCATGGATTACAGCACAGTGAAACTCATGTGCAGCGTGCTTTTTTTGCAAAAAAAGCTAACAGCATATACTGCGTTGTATTCAGCACTGGTAAGACATCACCTGGAGTACTGAGCCACACACTTCAAGAAGGATGTGGGCAGTTTGGAAAGAATCCAGCAAAGAGCAGCAGAAATTATTTGGGACCTGGGAAGCAAGACTTATGAGGAAAGACTTTAAGAAGTAGGGCAGGGATTTCAAACTGATCCAGCACCACGGTTTAGATGAGTAGCACAGAGCTGATCCGTGGGCCACACCGGACCCACAGACCAGCCCTTCATTCCAGATCTGGAGCTGCTGCTGCCATAGGGCTGTGCAGTGCAGCCCCAGAGAGGCTGCCCTGCGCAGCATGGCTCTGGGGGCTGTGTTGCTCATGAAGGCTGTTCCTTCACTCTGGGATGTGAGCTGGAATGGGTAACCTGTGCAGCACACAGGGCCATTCAGCACACCTTGTTTATCTTTGAGATCCCTGAACTAGGGCTATTTTGTCTGAAGAAGAGAAGACCAATGGGGGGGGATATGATAAGTCTTCAAATATGTGAACAGCAATTAAAGAGGGGATGAAGATGGACTTTTCTCTGCAGCTGTAAGGGACAGGACCTGGAGCAATGGCCTCTGGGGGGTTGGAAATGAGCTTTTCTCTGTGGCCACACAGGACAAGACAGGACAGAAGCAATGGCCTCAAGCTGCAACAGGAGAAATCCAGGTTGGAGATTAGAAGGAACTGCCCGAGTCTGAGTGTGATCAGGCATTGGAACAGGCATCTGGAGACACTGTGGAATCTTCCTCTTTGAAAGTTTTCAAGATAAGGTTGGACAGCTGCTTGGCTGGGAGGATTTAAGGCAGGGCCAGGCGATGTCCAGCCCATGGGCCGGATCAGGCCCATAGCGGACTCCATTTCTCAGCAGCCCCTGCCCACAGTTGCTGCAGCCAGTTTCCATGGAAATGCCAGTAGCTGCAGCACCATGACAATGCGAGATTTCCATGCGGGGCAGATGGAAAGTGGATCACAGCTCTGCCCCAGCTCCAGGCTACACTGTTACCACTGTAAGATCCCAGCACCAGAGCAGCTCCCTGCCCAGCCATATGCCCTGCCAGCACTGCTGGGGCTGGTCTTCATGGGAACTCTGGCCCCAAGCTGTCACCGTACCACGCTACTGGTCTGTGTGGAAACTGGCTGCAGCAACGGATGCAGGGGCTGCTGGGAAATAGAGTCTGGCCACCAGCTGGATCCACCGTTTTGCCCACCCCTGGTTTAAAGGTAGGATAGATGTGCACCTTTATGGGCTAACTAAATAAGAAAGAGCACAAGCTTTTGTGAGGCATTGGGTGTGGGCTGCAGCCCTGGCTGGGGACTTTGACTAGGCTGTGCCAATGCTCCTGCTGGGACCAAAGCCAGAGGTTCCTTGCAAAGGGGTGTTGCTCTTCTGTTCACGGTCAGGTCAAACCGATCATCACATTTGGAGTCAGGAAGGAATTTTTCCCCGTGATCAGATTAGTATGGACGGGGGGGGGGGCTGCCTTCCTGCGTAGCAGGGGGTGTGGCCCTCTACCCAGGATCTCTAGAGCATCTATTGACAACGTTTTATACAAGCAGGACTTTAGCCACCACAGTTCCCCTGCTTCACCTGTGGTAAGTGAGGGTGTCTGGTCTGTGTCAGGGTTGACAGTCTAATGTAGAGTTTAGATTAGGGTTTGGATAGGATGGTTTGGAGAGGGATGCTTCTGCCTCAGGCAGGGGGTTGGACTAGATGTGACACTGGAAGGTCTCTGTAGCCCTGCTTCTCTAGGACTCTAAGAAGCCAAGTTTGCTTTGTCACATGGCCAGGATGGTCCAGGCAGGGATATGAATGTGTGCCCCCTGCAGCTGTGGGGGGGCTCGGCGGCGGTGGGAGCACAGTGGTGGTAAGGGGGGGGGGGATGAGCACTGACAAGGGGTCGGTGACCACCCACAGATGCTACCGCAAGCACTGGCAGCGGGGATCACGGACTGCCCACAAATGCCACCAGCAGTGTTAGCAGCAGGGTGGTGAGCAGCGACTGCCCACAGGCTTGTGGCGGTGCCTGTTTGCAGGGGGTGCACCACCAAGCACTTGCACCCACATGCACCCCTACACATCACCCTGGGGCAGGGAGGATCTTACCTTGAGCAGAGGCCTGGCCTAAATGACCCTGTGCCGCCCCTTCCAGCCCTCCTCTCCTAGGAAACTAATGCAGCCCCCTAAGCTCCATCCTGTGGGGCTCCCTGCCTTTTAGCACTGGGGTGTGGTGCTCACTGTTGTGTCTACCATTAACACATGCTGTCAGGTGGAGCCAGCTGCACTGCCCCCTGCCCCCCGAGCTCAGAAGGCTGCCAGCGCTGTGCATTTACTGCAGAGACAAGGCAGGGTCTAGAGGGCACCACAGGGGTCTCTTGCAGCCGACCAGCATTCCCAGATCTTAAATATGAAATCGTATTGGAAGCTCAAAATTACTGTATTTGCTGAAAAAGTATCGTACACTGAAAAAAATATGCAAATAAGCATGCAAATAAGTCATCGTCGTCTTTATTTTATATTTCTCACTGTAACTCGCCAGCGAGTGAATGAGTGAGAACTGCGTCGTGCAAGTTGAAACACTTCTTTATTCGGAGGCAAGCCGTCGTAAGAAAGTGCTGACAGCAAACCCAACAATTACTTGAAGACTCCCTGAGTTGTTGAGTTTTACATGTGCTGTATCAATTTGCATATTAATTGAGTTTTGCGTATGATGTATCAATTAGCTGCCTCAAAATTATCCTGCCCTTTGAACACTTTTGCTATTACTGACCGTACAAGGCTTGCAACGGTGGCACAAATACAGTCACGATCGCACACCTGATAACGCTGCACCAGGCATTCGAGAACGAGCCGATGAAGTTTGAGCCTCGGGGGATCCCGTCCGGGCTTCTCCCTCGCCCCGCCCCGCCCCGCCCCAGACTCTCGCTTTTTCAGCTAGCGTGAGCCTCAGCAGCTTCCGTCTGCATCTGGCCGGTGCTGTAAAGCTACCGTGACACGGAGCTGCTGGCACCGCCGCCATGAGCCGGAGCTACAATGACGAGCTGCAGTACCTGGACAAGCTCGACAAGAATTGCTGGCGCATCAAGAAGGGTTTCGTGCCTAACATGAACGTGAGCGCGGGGCTGGCCCGGGGCCGTAGCGGTCCCGCCGGGGGGGCGGGGGAGTGGACGTGCCCATGGAGGCCTCGCGCTTGGGGGCGGGAGAGCCTTCCCTCGGGGCTAATTGTGGCCTTTGCTCACCGCGGCGCATGCGCAGGTGGAGGGCGTCTTCTATGTCAACGACCCGCTGGAGAAGCTGATGTTTGAGGAGCTGCGGAACGCCTGCCGCGGCGGCGGTGAGTGCCCGCGTCTGCGCGGACCCCCTCCCCGAGTCCTGCCGTTGGGGTCAAAAGTGCACGTTCCTTTGTGGAACTCCGGTCCTGCTCCCAATGACTAGAGCGGCGGCCGCTAGCTCCGCCCCCGGGCTGGCCTGGGTACCATCATGTCAACCCTGGTACCACCTGTGATCAATAATAGTAAACGTGTGGTAACTCTTGAGGCGGCCAATTGATGCAGCTTGTGCAAAACCCAAGTTACTCGAGGAATCTTAACCGATTTCTGGTTTGCTGCCAGCACTCTCTTATGACGCTTCCCTTGAAATAAATGCTTCAAGTGGGACCTAGTTCTCACTTGCTCTCTCGCTGGTGACTTGGAGCAATATAAAGTAAAAGAGACATTTGCATGCTTTTTTTGCATATTTTTCAGCAAATGCAATAATTTTGAGCTTCCAATACAATAATTCCATGTTTAGGACCTGGCAGTGGAGAGCCCTGCTGAGGCCAGGCAGGCAGCACCGCTGCTGTAGTCTTAGAGTCATAGAAAATGAGGGTTGGAAGGGACCCTAGGAGACATCTAGTCCAACTCCCCTGCTCACAACAGCACCGTTCCTGCTTACCCCATCCCAGCCAGGGTTTTGTGTAGCCAGGTCTTCAAAACCTCCAGTCCAGCAGTGACAAACAAGGGATCTGACCTGTGCAGTTCCAGCCCCTAGTGCTGCCTCTGGGTCTCGCAGTACTGGACGAGCCCCATGTGAAGGGCACCAGCTGCAGGATTCATGTGGCACCCGGTTCGGGCCTCATGCCATACGCCTGCCCTGTCTAGAGCAGGCACCGCATGCTGGGTGTCCAGGACGGGCACTGTGAGTGCTGGATCCAGCCCACGGGGCATACTTCAGTCATGACCTGGAAAGGACTCTGAAGAGAGGCTAAATAGGATTATTTCTTGTGGCCCGGTTACTCGGATTTCTGATACTTGCCAACAAGTGTCACTTCTGGTATTGCTTTCTGTTGCATCAACAGCTCTTCTATCAGAATTTAGTTTGGGGGCATCTTAATTGAGTATTGGTCATGTCTTGTTGGGGTTTTTTGGTTTGTTTGGTTTTTTTTTCTTTTCTAAAAATCTCCCACTTTAGCACAGGTAAAAGCACTATGGTAAATTACCAGCTAGACTCTGTTCTCCAGGCTGCCAGGCTTGCATATCAGCAATCGGATTGGGATTGGCTGATATGGCTTGTTAATAATTGGCCATCAGTGTCAGCCCAAAAAATCTGCATCCCTACACTGGTACAAAACAATAGCAGGAGAACTTAAGG